GACCCCGCACTTCTCTTTGTTCACCCTAATACTTAAATCATTAAGCTGTAAGTTTTATTATTGTGTAAAAAGACTAAAAAAGGTCATCCAACTTAATAATTAACCCTAGTACATCTATATACACACCCCACACACCCCACCACTCTTTATATTAAGTTTTAGAAAAATACAAACTCCTCTACATCCTATTTAAATTGGATTATGACAAATGTAAAGTATAAATTGGATCAGATCAGGACAAACTCCTCTACTTTGAGAGAGGTAAAGTTGTTCTCTTTCTCTAGAAATATTAAATTTCGGGTTTGGGGTTCCATTTGTTTGTGTTTTTTTTGCTAAGAACAAAGAAAATTGTGGGGTTTAAATAGAAAATATCTTTTATTTCTTATTTTTTTTCAATTTGGAGTGTATTTAAGGGTAGTTTGGGAAGATAATGGGGTTTTCTTAGAAATTATGAAAATTTAAATTAAAAGATGGGGTGAACTAAGAGAAGTGTGGGGTTTAAATAAAAAATCTCTTTTGAAATTTCTAAAATGATTGTTGTTCTCTTTTACTTAACGTGATAGATTACCAAGATAGTATTTCACTCTCTCTTTTGCCTGCTTCACACACATAAAGTGAAAGCTTAAGAAACTTTTGAATTGGAGTTGGGATATTCTTCCTATGACACTAGACTATGACTAGACTTAAAAAAGAAAACTACAAGGTATACTTGATTATTGGATTTTGTAAGGACCAGGCAGACATGAATGTGATTACGAAAGCGTTTCAATCCCACCCGCAACTAATCTTTTTTTATAACTTGTAATAATGTTATTCAATGGTAATGAATCCATCTGTCCAAATATTAACTAAAAAGAAAGAAAAAGAAAAAGAAAGGTTGCTCGCAAGAACTTTCGATCCGGGTAAAATTGTCCCCTCCAAAAGATATATTCTACGCTTTGATTTATGGTCAAGTAGACAATAGGTCCCCACATATTCTGATTTTCTTAAACTCCTGTAAAGAAAACAGAGGTCACAAAGCCAACGCGTTTTGTGGCATCATATACCGCACGTCATCCTAGTTTCATCGAAACCGCTACGAAACCTACGAAGTATTTCGTCGTTAGGTTAATTTTCAACTCTACTTCTCTCCAGTCTTTATTATCTTTTTTAAAATTGCGATGCTAATCTAAACTTTCACTGTCAAAAGCTAAGGAAAACGACAAAGGGTTTCAGGGCAAAATTACTAGAAGGGCCTTATAAATTGGGTTGATAAAGCTTAGCTCACTCTGAAATTGAAGATTGACGATGAAAGTAGGGCTAGGGCTGGTTGAAAGATTTTTAGCGCTCTTTGCAAAATTTAAATTGGAATCTTCAAATTATCTAACATAACATAATTTTAAAAAATGTATCATAAATTGCTGCCATAAACAAGGTTGCAAGTGTATAAGGGAATATTTGTTGTAGTTGATACATTTTCCTTAAAAATGAAGGCAATATTATACAATATAATTTAGTTTTGTCAAATTAAATTGAGATTATTTTGAGTCAATAAATTGAATTTTATAATTTTCTTTAATCAAATAAAAACTTCATTAGATAAACTTCAACAATACAATCAAAGACATAAACAAGACATCTAAAATATCAATCCTAAGAGGTCAACAAACGAACATGCTAAAAGCAAAACTAACACGGACAAAAGCCGCATTAAAACTACTAGCCCACATTACCATAATTAACCATAAGCCCAAACAAAGCCCACAAATCAAACATAACCAAAACCCTAAAACAACCTATGAGCCTAAACGAACCCTATCACCATCACCTGAAGAAGCACCGTCACAGCCACACCCACCACCGCATTCGTAACAGATCTGAGAAAAATATGATTTCTAGCGATCTACTTGCTCATAAGAGCGAATAAATAAACGAAAACAACAACCTTGTTAAAGAACAATTTGGTGATTTGCAGCAACCTCCGTCAAAGACGATATAGAATCAAGTTTAGACAACATGAGCGACATTAGGGAGTGAATTTTGGGAGTAGGATTTGATTGAGATCATAGACTAAAAGGGATTATACTAATATTATTAGATTATACTAGGAACCTTAATTAACAAGATGTTAATTTTTAAAAAAAAATATATAAAGACGAGGTTTGGTATGCTTGTGGGCGCTGACTGTCGAACTTTTCCATGCGGTAATGGAAAAGCTCTGATTCTACAGCTCAAATACCTCCCTTATGTCCAAACTTTTGGGGCCCACCACTCACTTTGCATTTTACAGCTTGGCTCACACACACACCCTCTTCTCCTCCTTCTCTAAGCTGCTTACTCGCTAAGGTTTGGATTTATCCACAACATGCTAACCCACAGTAACGCCACGCGTGTATCATATCCCACCGCCACGCGTCCCAAAAGATCACGTTCGTAATTTCTCCGGAATGTTCACCAATAGGATCTCGAAACGTGTCCTTCATCTTAATTGTAATTTCCATTTATATCAGCACAATACACTTGTTCACTTTTCCTTTTACGTTTAACAATAGGCAGCGAGTATCCGATCCCTCGTATCACGTGCCCGCGCACAAAGCTCGTGGGATACGCATGAGCCCAAACCGTCAGGGCAAGGCGATGTTTTGCAAATGAACGAGGCTGTACGGACGTGGGTCCCGCCACGATCGTGGATAAATTCGTCTCGAGGTCATTTTAGATGAACCAAATAATCCGGTGCGAGGGGGTCATTTAATTAATTTTTGTAATTATAATTTTTTTGTGATAATTAATCATATTAAATGAAAATGAACAATGTCAAATCATTGATATAAAAAACTTGGAAGAAGGAATGAGTCCTTGCCTTCTATTTAAGAATAGGAATGAGTCATTGCCTTCTATTTAAGAATAAAAACAAGTCTGATTGTATTTAAAAGATTGCAAAAAAATAATCCGAAACCCGAATGAGAAATTGTTTTCTACTTCGAGTTGTATTGTAACCCATGCCGTATAAAGAGGAACTTGAGAGTTAGGTTAAATAATATAGAAATAGAATACAATGGAGCATTAAATTGGGGTTAAAAATTAAAAACTAATCACAAGATGAGGACAAAATGTTTGGTTTGGTGTATGGTAAACCCACCCCTTAATATCCTCCATTGCCATGCCGCCATGCAGGGAAATTGATCTGCGCTCAGAGTTCAGATGGTACCTTTTGTCAAAACAGTTGGGTCCCACAAGTTTCGGATTTTATCCACGACATGCTTGACCACGATACTTATGCAAACAACCATGTTTTCAAATTTTGTTTCCAGAATTTTCAAATAATTTCTTTTTTTCTTCTGCTTTTTCCGATTCTCTTTTCCCCAGTGCACAGGTCAGTTTTTTCTTTTACGTGTAAAACAGACAGAAAGCGTGTACGGACGAGGATCCCCACGCAAAGAATAAAATGAAGAAGCACATATTTTTGGATACGACACCAAATGTGCAACAACGACGAAAGCAAAGGCAAGGTGTAAGCCGTAAAAATCGCGGCTGGGATCGTCGTCGTTGCGGGATTCGGCCTAGGAGGTTTCAGTGGTCCTTTACGTTTGGAATGATTTCCTACCGACGTTTCGTTTTTTAATCGAAAAATCGTTTCAATTGCCAATGTCGCTACAAGTATTTATTTGTTACAACCATCTCTGCCATAAAGTTAATGTAATTATGAGTTGTTAATCATGATAATAAAAGTTATGCCAATTGTCATTTTTATTTGTATTAAATTCCATATGCAAATATCATTTCTTTTTTACATCAGGTAAATATATAGATATTTACAGATGTAAATAATAAAAAAAACTGAAAAGAAAGTAAAAAGAATGTGGGTGGAGTGGGAGTAAAAAGAGGAATGTGGATGAAATGGGGGAGTAACTTTCTCTATATAATTACTTTGGTGGAATTTTTTTTTTGGGTATTATATAATGTCAGGTGATTGATAGATACGCGCGCAACTGATTCATACACAATTATCTTAAATTGGTATTATATATTGTTTAGGTTAAAAACCTTAAAAAGTAAATAAAAATCTAATTTCACATATGTCATTATTATATTACGAAAAACAAATATTTATAATTTGTCAAGACATGCAATTCCTTCCCATAAACCTAGGTAAAAAGAGTTAACCTAAAAAATATGAAATCCTAATTATAAAATTGAGATTTAAGTCATCCACATAAATATTAGAAAAATATTAGTACACACACTTGCAACCCTTTCTTTGCATTTCTCAACTAAAATATAACTGTCGTCTCTCTACTTATCTTAAAAGCTAAACAGGCAATGCATAAAAATTTTCTTTTGCCGGAAAAATGCTAAAATCAGTAGCACCATTTTCAAAGTAAGTTTAAACAGAAAATATGACAAGGCTTTTATTATTATTAGCAGCCAAAGCGTCTTCTCTCCCAATAAAACAATGCCCGAACATTTGCCCAAAAACACGGTGGGTCCTCTCTAAGCAATGGTCTCGGAAATGCGGGGAGGGCAAAATCGGCATTTCTTAAAACAAGAAATTAGCCGCCTTCATCCCACGCCTTCCTTTGTACGTCTTCGTTTTCTTTGATTATAATAACATGCATATACACACCCACTCCCCCTCTCACACTAAAGTTCTCTCTCTTCACTTCCCCCCACAACTCCGCTCTCTCTCTCTCACATCGTTTTCTCTCTCTAGAAACCAGAACGACTCAACCGCCGTCTCAAACTCACGCTCCTCAACCGCCGTCTCAAACTCACGCTCCTCAACCGCCGTCTCAAACTCACGCTCCTCAACCGCCGTCTCAAACTCACGCTCCTCAACCGCCGTCTCAAACTCACGCTCCTCAACCGCCGTCTCAAACTCACGCTCCTCAACCGCCGTCTCAAACTCACGCTCCTCAACCGCCGTCTCAAACTCACGCTCCTCAACCGCCGTCTCAAACTCACGCTCCTCAACCGCCGTCTCAAACTCACGCTCCTCAACCGCCGTCTCAAACTCACGCTCCTCAACCGCCGTCTCAAACTCACGCTCCTCAACCGCCGTCTCAAACTCACGCTCCTCAACCGCCGTCTCAAACTCACGCTCCTCAACCGCCGGCTCAAGCTTACACTCCTCCGCCCGCTACGGTTCAGGCTTCGTCCAGTTCGGCTCCTCCGTCTGCGGTGGCTCCGCTGATCGCCGAGATGGAGCAGAAGCTCACATTGACGATACCTCCACCGGCGTCGTCCAAGGCCATTAGACTTCCGGCGAGGCCAGGATTTGGGACGTTGGGGACGCGGATTCAAGTGAGGGCTAACCACTTCTTGGTGGAGGTTAAGGAGAGAGATCTCCATCACTACGATGTAAGCCTCTTTGTTATTAATTTCTATTTGCTTTTTGATAAGTTTTCCCTTTTAATATTTCTGAGTTTATCTCTCTCATGTCCATTTTGGACTCTTGTTGTTTTGCGTATGCTTTTATTTTTTCGATATCTTTTGTTTATTCCTTTTTGTTTCTGTAAAAGTTATTTTATATTTCCATTTAAATTTTGCTCTGCTGTAGTTGTAAGCTTGACCGAGAATGGTGTTTTGGGACCCAAAATTTATTTGATGTTCCAAAAACTTTCTTTCGGAAGCAAAAACTATTTCATATTCTTCTACAAAATTTCTTTCATCCTCCCCTTTTTTCTCCACTGTTGTAAATTTGACTCGTAAAGGTGTTTTGATGTTTCGTAAACGACTTTTTTAAGTCAAAATACTGAATAGCAAACAAAAGCTAATCCAGAACCTTCTTTTCCGGTAAATTGTCTGTTATATTTTCTTTTTGTTTTAAATTGAACGGAAATGTGTTTTAGAAATATTTTTATATTTGAATGTTACTGAAACATTTGCTTGTATCAAATTTCTTTCGTATTTCCTCTACCACATTTCTGAGTCAGATTACTGAATATCAAAACACCTTTCATCGGAAGTGTCGTTAAAATAGGTTGCTGTTCAGTATTTTGACTCAGAAAGGTGTTGTGGGAATATTGCAAATGTTTTGGTATTTTCTGAGTGACAGTAGTAAGAAACTTTGTTTTAGAGACAGTTCTTTTTATCTCCAGAAAACTCAAATTGTTTTGAGATTTGATGTTTTGGCGTATTTTTTTGCTCTGTTTCACAAGATTATTATTTGTTCTCTGTTTTGTGGTTATGGGTGGGGTTGTCTTGACAATTTCATTTGGTGGCTTTAGGTGTCAATTACCCCTGAAGTTACTTCAAAAAAGACCAACAGAGATGTGGTTAAACAGCTTGTTCATCTGTACAAAGATTCACACTTGGGAAAGAGAACCCCAGCTTATGATGGTATGAAAAGCATTTACACAGCTGGGCCATTGCCATTTGTCTCTAAAGAGTTTGTGGTCAAGTTGGGTGAGAGAGATGGTCGTGATGGGTCTTCTGGTTCCAAAAGGTATTTTCGGATGAGAGTTTAGTGTGTTGTGTTTGTTTCCTTTTTGGATTTTTTTATAGTTGGCTGTTCTCTGAATATTTTTATGTTATGTTTGAATGACTTGCAGAAAGGACAGAGAGTTTAAGGTGGCTGTAAAATTGGCCAACAAACCAGACCTTCATCAATTACAACAGTTCTTAAACAGCAGGCAACATGAGTCGCCTCAAGAAGCCATACAAGTTCTTGATGTTGCTCTTAGGGCCGCACCATCTGACAAGTATTAGTTTCCGTTTGTTAGAAAGAGCATATGATTTCTGATATCCTTGTATTAATCATTTCCTAACTTGTGATAGTTTGAATGTTGTATTTTCTATCATAGGTACACTGTCATTGGGAGGTCTTTCTTTGGCATTGAGCTTGGGCCGAAAGGAGAACTTGGTGATGGTCTCGAATATTGGAGAGGATTTTACCAGAGTTTAAGGCCAACACAGTTTGGACTTTCCTTGAATATAGGTTTTGCATTTACCTAATTGCAGCTGTTTTGAGAATCATACTAAGCCGAGTAACAAAAATGCCTTGCCTAATACTTTAATTCATATGTTGCAGATGTATCGGCCAGATCTTTTTATGAACCCATTCTGGTGACTGAATTTGTTAAAAAACATTTTAACTACAGGGATCTATCCAGGCCTTTGTTTGATCGTGATCGTTTGAAGGTATTCACAATTCTTTTTTGGTCTGGTATGCGGTTTTTAGAGGCAAATTGCGAAGTAGAGTAATATAAAGAAGAGACACTCTGTTAATTCAACAGCTTTTAAATTATTTTCTAATTTTCTGAACGAGAAGTAAAAGTTGGTCATAATATTTTTATAGGTTAATTGGATATTTTTATGTGCAGCTGCTAGTATTTGGGCTCAATGGGTTAATTTTAGCATGCAATCAGTTGCTTATAATGCATTGTCTTCAAGGCCCCTTATTGCAATATTTTTATTGTGGTATTCTTCTACTTGCAGGTGAAAAAGGCCTTGAAGGGGGTTAAGGTTGCACTTGCTTACAGGGATAATAGGAGTTATAGGATCACTGGAGTGTCCACAGAACCACTGAGCCATTTAACGTGAGTCTTGTAATAATTTATGCTTGTAGTTTGCACGTGTTAATATGTGCAGCTTGATAAGTAACTTAATATTCAACTTTGCAATTCAGGTTTACTTTAGAAGACAACCAAACCCAAACTTCAGTAGTTCAATATTATCGTGAGAAATACAATATTGTACTAAGAAATGTGGCTATGCCTGCTTTACAAGCTGGGAGCGATTCGAAACCTGTTTATTTACCTATGGAGGTACCTTTCTTGATATTTTAAGCATTTATTTTCCAGTTTGATTCTCTTCTAAGCATGGTACTAGTATTTAGGACATGATTGATTTATTTTCCTTTCTGGCAGCTTTGTTCAATTGTTGCTGGGCAACGATACTCGAGGAAGCTCAATGAAAGACAAGTCACAGCCTTACTAAGAGCGACTTGTCAACGTCCTAGCGATCGGGAGAGGAACATAAAGCAGGTCTAGCTGTGCTTTTCTTTTTTTATCTTGACAATGAATGTATTTCTTTTCTTAATGTACATTGAGTTTTTATCTTGTCTCTTGGAATCATATTGGTGCATTTATGCAGATGGTTAAGCAAAGTAATTTTAATGGAGATCAACTGATCAAAGATGAATTTGGGATGCAAGTAAGAGAGGATATGGCTTTAGTTGATGCTCGAGTTTTGCCTCCTCCATTGGTAATGATTTGCCTCCATTTTTATTCAGGCACTACAAGCGTCATTGAACTTGTTTTCCTACTAATGTTTGTATTGAATGGCACAGCTAAAATACCATGACCAAGGTCGTGAAACAAGGGAAACTCCACGGATGGGGCAATGGAACATGATTAACAAGGTGAGGTAGTTGGTTTTTTATTCCTTAGATGAAGCTGCTGGTAAATTGTGCATCTGTCGAACTTTAATACCTGTGTCATAACTTCTGTGATGTGTTTTTTTTATATTGTCAAATCTTCAGTTTGGATTTGATGGTAAGAAATCAAAGATTTCTGGAAAGTGATTTTGTAGCATTAGGAGGAATTCATATAAGATATGTTAATTTAGACTAAATATTTAAAATAACGTGTTTCTGGTTGTTCTTTGGTGTGGGGCTGCATCAAAAGTAAAAGAAGTTTTTGTTACTTACTTTTTGTTCATTGTGTGCTGGTTTTGTAGAAAATGGTAAATGGTGGAAGAGTGGATTTCTGGGCGTTTGTCAATTTCTCGGGATTGAGGGAAGATTTTAACTTCCGATTCTGTGATGATTTGGTGAATATGTGCAAAAGCAAGGGCGTGGTATGACTTTAATTCTTATTTCTTTCCATTCTTGCCTTGAAATATTTGTTTGTCGATTTTGTAACGATATTATCTTCCCAGGATTTCCATGTCCAACCTTTAATTCCCATAGAATCAGCCAATCCTAGGCAGATTGAGAAGGTGCTCAAAGATATTCATAGGGAGTCTACTAAGAGACTTGAAGAAATTGGACATAAGGGGAAGTATCTTCAGCTGTTGATTATCATTTTGCCCGATGTCACTGGGTCTTATGGTGAGAATCAAACGAGGACCAAAAGGCTGTCTTTACTTGCAAGAAAACTTATTTTTTATATATGATTTCTTATATCCCTTTTTTTATAGGGATGGTTAAGCGAATATGTGAAACTGAGCTTGGAATTGTGTCTCAGTGCTGTCAGCCTAGGGCAGCATCCAAGCTTAGTAAACAATATCTTGAAAATTTAGCCCTCAAGATAAATGTGAAGGTTTGTTCTTTATCTTTTGTGTTTCATGTTTCTCACTGTTTTCCTTGGGCATGCAAATTTTGACACATGGAATTTTATAATTTTGTAGGTTGGTGGAAGAAACACTGTTCTAAATGATGCCATTTTCCGGAGGATTCCTCTGGTTACTGATATCCCCACAATTATTATTGGTGCGGATGTTACTCATCCACAGCCTGGGGAGGACAGTAGCCCGTCAATTGCAGCTGTAAGTTCTGTCTTCAACTCTACTTTTAATGAAAACTTCTTGTGTTTTAACCTGTTAGTTTATTCCAACAGGTCGTGGCCTCCATGGATTGGCCAGAGGTCAGTAAGTACCGAGGAATAGTTTCTGCACAGGCTCACCGTGAGGAAATAATCCAAGATCTGTATAGTTTATATCAGGATCCTCAGAAGGGTTCAGTTCATGGAGGAATGATCAGGTATATATATCAGGAAATAATCTGAGATCAGTATAATTTATATCCAACATCTGCACCTGCACCTTTCAATTGGCTGATAGTGAGGACATTTTCTTATCATGCTTATTGTCATTGTGTTAGGGAGCATTTTAGAGCATTTCGAAGATCAACTGGCCGAAAACCAGAGAGAATTATCTTCTACAGGTAAATTATGCATATGTTGAACTTCAATGCATGTGTCTAAACTTCTGTAATGTGTGTGTGTTTTTTTTTTCTTTCTTTCATGGTTGTGAAATCTTCAATATGTGTTTAAGGGTAACAAAAGCAAGATTTCTGCAATTGAAGTGGTTTTGCAGCATTATGAGGAATTCATATTGACATGTTAACTTTATAGTGTAAATATTTAAAATAATGTGTTTACTGGTTCAGTGATATGCAATGCGGCATCTGAAGTTTAGTATTTATTTTGATGGTTTTTTGACAGAGATGGAGTTAGTGAAGGTCAGTTTAGTCAAGTTCTGCTCTATGAAATGGATGCTATAAGAAAGGTATGTTGATTACTAGAATTCTACCATCATTTGTGGGGTTGGGTAGATTGATTGAAATATAAGATTTTAGAACATAATAGAATAACAAATTCTTGAGAAGGGTGACTTTTATTTAATATTTTTCACTATTTTTCCAGGCTTGTGCTTCCTTGGAGGAGGGATATCTGCCACCAGTTACTTTTGTAGTGGTGCAGAAAAGACATCATACTCGCCTGTTCCCTGCTGATCATAACAGACGTGATCAAATGGATAGGAGTGGCAATATTCAACCAGGTTTCAAATATTTTTGGTTCATTTTCATCAAATAAATATGATATTTTTTCCTCTTGGAGCACTAATTGTTTCTACCTTGTCTAGGCACTGTTGTTGACACCAAGATTTGCCACCCTACAGAGTTTGATTTTTTTCTTAACAGTCATGCTGGAATTCAGGTACTTTGTGTTGCTGACTTAAACATGCTAGTTGCATTTTGGTTGTAGGTTCCTTGACTGGTTTTGAGGATTTATTTGGTTCCATGCTCTTCTGAATTTGTAAATCTTCTGTTTTGGTATATAATTTCAACCGTCTTGTCTATTATGTGTGTAGGGTACTAGCCGGCCAGCGCACTACCATGTGCTGTTTGATGAGAACAGGTTCACTGCTGATCAATTGCAAAGTCTAACGAATAATTTATGCTACACGTGAGTTTACAATGATTTCAATTCTTGTTTTGTTTGGCACTTGTTGCGCATTTTGAAATTAGTATTTTGTTTGTTGACTTAACAAGTTTATGCGGTGTGATTTTTCAGGTATGCAAGGTGTACCCGCTCGGTTTCAATAGGTACAAACTTGTGTTAATTTTTTTTTTATTCTAATTCATTTTCTGGAGCATATGCTTTTGCCTATTGCTCTCCACTGGTGTTTATGATGATTTTACGTGCAGTTCCGCCTGCTTATTATGCTCATCTTGCTGCATTCCGAGCACGATATTACATTGAGGGAGAATATTCCGATGTAGCCTCAACAACAGCAGGTTCGACAAGCGGCGGTGGAGGCAGCGGCAGCGTGCTGATTCGAGCCCTTCCTCAGATCAAAGAAAATGTTAAGGATGTGATGTTTTACTGCTGATTTGGGAGAGAATACTTTTGGGGGTGGTAAAGCTGGTTTGCTGCTTTTGGGCGATTGCGTTTTGTTAGGCCCCTCTTTGGTATATGACATCTTTACAGACACAGTGAATATGGTTTCCTTGTAACTATAATGGCCCTATGATTTTGTAGATCTGGCCTTTTATCCTTACCTATTTTGGAGCTGCTGGATATGACTCGGTTTCAATAGATACAACCGCCAATTTCTGTAATTGGATATGAATTTGTTCATATTTTAATAGGCGAGGAGACGGTTTTGAGATTTTGCGAATTGAGTTATAGTACTTGTCCGGTGGCCTTTTTCAAACAGATTTGGCTAAAACCAAGCCCATCGCATGAATTGTTTTGAGCTTGTTTTAGTAAATAGCTTGTTTTAGTAAATCAATGGCAGTTTGTAATTTACAAGAAGTTAAAAGCCTCTTTGTTATGTTATAAATAGACTTTGAGTGTGTTTCTAAAGTCCATTTTATATAAGGGGTTTTTTTTAAGAATTTGAGCCCTTATATTGGGTATATAGTGAATCTACACTGCCTTTCATTCCAAATCTCAACTCTTTCTTTCTTCCTCCAGTTTCTCTCCCAACTAAAAACATCAAGCTGCGGTAGACAAAGAGCCTGATGTTCTGTGATTGTTCTGACTCCCATTCTCACCTCTTTCTTTCTTCCTCTGGTTTTTCTCTCCCAACTAAAAACATCAAGCCGCGGTAGACGAAGAGCCTGATGTTCTGTGATTACTCCGACTCCTGCTCAATCTCTTGCTCTTCCACTGTGCACCGCATAGCTTCCTTCCGGTGTTGGAGCCTAAGGTTGAGCCGGAAATCTGAGTAATTGGAATCTCTTTCAATGGAGTTTTATGCATAAAATAGTTAAGTCAACTCTGAGTGTGTGAGTGTTTGGACGAAGAGTTTCAAACATATATAATTGTTTGACTTTTCTATTTGATTGATGGGATTCAATCGTGTGCACATATATAATCATGTCCCAGTGTTATAAGTTTGTTTTTGGCTCTCACTCTTCTCTTGTGGGTGTTTTCGCCCTTTTCACATATATTTCTCTCTCTTGCTAGTCCTACTTTGATCTTATTATAGAGTTTAGAATTATGCCTTTGTGCCTTGGGCATTTTGTTTGCTTAGGGCTTTGGTTGGTGCGACCACTGAACCACTCAAGTCACTTCAAATTTTGTAAACATTTCCAATTTGCCAAGCCGACTACTCTCTTAAGATTTAAATTCCGTGTTGAAGTTACAGCCCAATTAATACACGACACGAAGCAAATTTTGTATAAACTAATATCCCATTAAACCAATTACATGTAAATGTAATTTACAACGTGTTAACAGGGCAATGTGTAATTCTACTCGGACTCAGAACACAAGAAAGAGAGAACCCGCAAACCTATTGCAACTGAACAGCCAAAGGGGGTTATGAAGATTATAACATAAGGTCTTGCCGGTTGCTATAAATATAAACCAGCAAGAGACTACATATACAATGGAAAAAAAATAGACAAAAAAAGAATGGTAGCCCCATATATCTTCAAGTTTATGCTATAAAAACAGGAAGTTTCCTTGCTGAGATACGATGAGCACAAGGAAGGCCACTATGCTTGCTGGTATCAGATCGTAGGGATGGAGATGCAACGAACTGCTGTCACTTATCTGTCCTGCATTGACATATTCACTTTTTCCGGTTTTACTTGTTGCAGAGACGTTAACGGACATTGAACCTAAAACGATAATGCACCGTATCAAAGTTTAGTGTGGCATAATCTAAAAGCATGGACAGTGGATAGCAGACAACCAATGATTGCATAAAATTGATTTCCGGCAGGATTACTGAAACTTACAGTCATAGTTAGCCCATCCAATTCGTTGACCACCCAAATCATAAACAATGATTTTGTCTTTTAGCACAAGGTCTGGCAAAAGGAAGATTGAAATAATGTTAACGTACATAGATATGACACCGTTATGCATAAATAAGGGCAAGGGTTTTAGGGTGGAGAAAGCAGGAGAAAAAGAGAGAGAGTTGTACCAAATATGATGATAGCGTAGGTGAAAAGAATGTATTAAAAATTCTCATGCACAATGATTTCTACTCTAATGTATGTCCACTGACAAAGCTCATGAGATAATGGAATATCAACCTCGAAAGGAACTGTCTAGAGCCTACAAAACTAATTAGTCAATACAAAGTTTCCAATTTGGCGTCTATACCTCCTAAAATCGTTATCCCTGAACCTTGAAGTTTCTGAAGGCCAATGCACCACCTCGCAGCACCACTCTGTAATAATAAAATTAGCCATCTCAGCTAAAGATTCAGACAGCAAGACTACAGTTGTACAAGGTGATAAAGAAAGAATAAGCATGTATAATTGGAAAACCATTTCCCCTTTCCAATAAATACCAGTGCTAAATGCTCCGAGTGGGAGCAACCATTAATGCAGCAAGTAGTGAAGAAAAATTCGCAGGATGAATACTAAGGAATAGTCAAGGCAGACATATATGCAATTGTAGAATCAATCATAAGGCCTCTTCAATAGAAGCAGATGCATTTCACCCCAACTCAACAGCATTTTGGGTGAAAAAAAAATGTCCAAGCAAGTGCTTAGAAACTGAAAATAACTAAACAGAAAACTTACAATAGATCCCTGCTGTATAAGGTAGTCCTGAGGTCTCAGAATCATGGATGCACCACCAGCAAAGTTTAAACTAACTTGAGGAAATATATCACTGACACTGAACAACAAATAAGCATACATTTTAGAGTAAAATCACTGCAAAAGAGAAAGCACTGAAGGAAGAAAGAATGGAGAAAAAAATCCAGAAAGTTAACCTGGAGGTAATTAAATAACACTGGTTTCCGTTTGAAACAACAGGGTGCACGGATTGTGAAACAGAAGCAGTAATCTGCACGACAAGAAAAAATATATATAATTCAAGATACTTCTAACTTATGCTTACCCAAATTTTCTGAAATTTAAAACTCAGTCTCATCACCAGAAAGGTTGACTAGATAAACATGTCAAAGAGCATGAAGTTTTCATTTATTTCACTTGAATCATCAGAATTATGGTCTAAACAGACTAATTTTGACTAGGAAATCACACAAGTCATAACTAAGACTTACAGCACTGATAAAAGGATCATAAGCTTCTGCTGCAAGGTATGCCAAAGTTGTACCAGAATCAACTATGGTTCCTCGATTACTTGATGTTGCAAACACTGATGGATCAATTTGTAATATTTGCCCATTGACAGAAATGCTCTGCAGATTCAAATTATAATGAGGCCTGAAATATTTAATGTCCAAATGATTAGTCAAAACAGAGCAGTGAGGTTTATATGATCTAAATCTCATGGATTCTAGTAGAAAACAAAAACAAAATAAAAATTTCCTAACATTGAACCTATTGGAATTGAACTACAAGTTAATAAGTTTGTAGAGAAGTATGATGTCCAATGACTAGTTAACTTGTCGAGGATTCCAAATGGTCAAGTGACCTTCCATTTTAATGTCGTACTCAAGGCTCTTTCTTTTCATACAAAAACAATCTTCTGAAGGTAGTTTCTTTGTGTTTCCATAATTGTTAGGTTTCAGTTGAACTATAATTTACTATAACAGAGAGGGATTTACATTTGATTCCTTGACGATAGTGAAAATAACAGAAGGCCAGAAAATAGTATTGGGTTCAGGGTAACATTGTAAGATGTGCAGTGTAATCATAATATAAAGGAACGTACTGTGATGGGACGAGCGGGCTATAGACTATATTTGGTTCCACAATCTCGCCGATAACCAATATACCTCCACCACCATCATCTCCCCTCAAGCAGTGGGAGAAGACGTTTGGTGCTACTCCTTGTGAAGCCAATTGAGAGATGACAGACATACCCTGTTGGCCAAACCCAAAGATCCCATCAACTGCTCTATCTGACTTTGTCAAATCACCAGTCTGCAAGGTGCTACACCTGTTTTTACCATCCTAGAGAATGACTTTCAAGATTCAAGAAAAATGTACAAAGAGTATAAATCAATTATTTAACTGGGAAAGATTAGTTATAACTCACCCAAAGACAATGGAAGCTGAAGCATTTTGTGTTACAGAACCCTCAAGAATCGTCTCAAGGTGCAACAAGTCTGATACATAATAGCCTGATGTCCCACTGCCATCTCCATACTGGAATGTGTATGAACACTGGTTACTCTGAGTGGAACAACCTGAATCTGATGATTGAATGCCAAGACTGCATCTTCGATCCGAACAAGAAATGAATTGTGATGTTGATGAGCTTTGAGGATCAAACAAATTGAGCTCAATCTGTAAGAATTACAAGCAACCCTTTTGAAAATTGTAGCAGCACATGGCTCCTAAGCTTTCACAAACTCGGAGAGACTGAAACTATAAATGCAATTTTGAGAGCAAACAAATGTGATTTTACCTGGAGTCCACTTGTTTCAGGGCAACCGTTGCAGGAACCACAACTGACCCACAGAACATCACTTCCAGTATCAATCTGCACATAATAATCTCTAGGAGGAGATCCCAATTGCAGTTTTGTATAATAGAGCCTGTAAAAGAGGAATAAATCCCAGGAAAGGCAACAGAATTAGTAAGAATCCTCCAAACGTTAAAATGATAGATACCACTACCGCTGCAACAGTAAACTTGAAACTGAACAGA